TGTGATTGTCATCATTGCCCCTATCCTCGTTGTTGCTGCTGCTGGTTCATTATTAGCAGAAATATTAGTGCATTCAGTGTTGTGCTGTTGTTCTCCTCCTGTTGGAAGTAATGGGAAACGTACTGAAGGCAATTATTGACAACAGCAACAGCAACAACCACGACGACAAAGACCTGCGACCACCACGATCACCACAAGCCACCACCACACAAGAACAACAACAATAACAAGAACAAATAACACTACCAACAACAACGACGACAACAACACCAGCAGCAGCAGCAACAACAACCACCACAACCACGAACAACAAACATAACCACCACCCCCACCGCCACCGCCACCGCCACCACCATCACAACAACGAACCAACTAACCAAACAACCAAACAAACAGACCAACGAACAAACGAACAAACACCAACAAGAACAATAACAAGAGTAGCAACAACAAAAATTACAATTACAACCACAACCACAGCCACAACCGCAGCCACAACCCAGAACCCGCAACCCACGACCTGCAACCAAGAGTAGCAATACCAACACCAGCACCAGCACAAGCAACACCAACACGAAGAACACCACTACAGGGAATCGACATTGACAACGTCTTGTATATCGTGATATTCGCATCCAGGGCAATGGGCAGTGCTGTGAATGCATGCGCAGAAAGTGGCCCAACAAATTCTGTGATGCCGGCTCGACTGAACGTTAATCCAATGATGCTTGTCTCGCAGCAACATCACAGGCGGACCTCTTTGGCTGTTGCGCCGGCCGGCGGCCAAGTGCCACAGCGCTCGCCCAATTCGTCAAGTCCCTTCCTGCCGAAACGTCAAGGTTTCAGCTTGAACCTGTTGGATAATAACTAGATAATTAGAGGTCTCAGGACAGCCATCACCACCATCACCACCACCACCACTACCAGCCCCGCTACTACTACCCTTGCTGCTGCTACTACTACGACTGCTGCTGCTGCTGCTACTACTACCACTACTGCTGCTACTTCCACTCCTCGTGCGGCTGCTGCTACTGTTACTACTACTACTACTACTACTACTACTACTACTACTACTACTACTCCTCTGCTGCTGCTGCTACTACGACTACAACGACGACGACGACGACTACTACGACTACGACTACGACTACGACTACGACTACGACTACGACTACTACTACTACTACTACGACTACTACGACGACTACTACTACTACTACTACTACTACTACTACTACTACTACTAGTACTACTACTACTGAAGAGGGCGCTGCCTGTGACTTGCACAGTTGATGAACTCGCCTCGCATCTCCGATGCCGTCTCCCAGCTTGCAATTCCAATAAGTAGCGGCACTCCGTCGGAGGGGAGGCCATTGTCTCTCTGTGGCCGTAACACAGCAGCGAGGGCTGCTGTGCATCAGTTGTGATCGGCACAGGGCCTATAGATCACAGCCCGGCGGATGATGATGAGTCAATGTTGCTTGAGATTCCATCGGTGAAGAATCCCCGGCCCCATAGGCCGTGACTACACCGGAGCCGCAGCTCCAGGCCTGGTGGAGCGAGCCAACGAGGCCCCTGTGTGGCAGCTGACTCCAGACCCGCGGGAGAGGCCTCGAACCGAAGCCTGATTCGGCAGAAGAAGAATGGCAGACCACCCCTTCTTCGACGAGGGAATGAGGAGCTTCGTCGTCTCCTGGATATAAGTTCGCAGAGCGAACACGGACATGCAGCCGAAGTGCGGGCGCAACACTCCTTACGGCAAAGCAGGGGCAACAAAGTCGGGCAGCTCGCACTCATGTCAGTGCCCGCATCCGTCGTGCGAATGCTTCCCAATTCGGCGTTCATCCCGCCGTTGCTTGAGGGCATCGCCGATGCCAGCTGCGTCGTGATTTGGCGCACCAACTTGAAGTGCGTTCAATGCCGCTTGCAAGATGGTAGATATGGGCACTTATAAGGCCCGGCATGGCCCGGCCCAGTCTTGCAAGGAATTAGGCAAGCGCCTTCAGCGGCTCATCGACACTGGCATGGAAGCCCGCACTGCTGATGGCCACCCGCTAGCTGGCTCATGCAGGTTTACAGGGGACAGTTTCGAGGGTTCAGGGGCGTGCTTCACGCCGAGACTGCGTTCATCCGGTGCCGAGCACCGTCGGGGAGTGATGACCCACCCGGTCCGCTTGTTGATCGGCTCACACAACTTTACTCGTGCTTCTAGAGCCAACCGGGAGTTTGTCACGTCCAGGCGGTGGACCCGGGGCGGCCTGACGGCACGCGCCCAGGAGGAATACGGGTGGCATCCACGTCTTGCTTGCGCCAACTGCAGGAAAAGTAGACACGCACTTGCAACGGGGCTAGCTCCCCGTGCCCGCAGACCGTGGCACGAAGGCAGAGGTAGCCTTTCTCCGGGCACAGGAGTCCGTGCTGGTATGGCTGGCGGGCACAGAGACTGACGTGTTGGCAGGCGAGGGGCAAAGGCATTCAGTCGACCCATGCGCCCTTTGTTGGGGCCAAGAGGCACCCAGCTGGCGAGCGTCAACAGTAGCGCGAGTGCGGCTCGCTGCACTCGGACTCCACCGCAAGGTTTGCTCCATGGCATAGATGCTACCACCTCAACAACTATGAGTCCCGCATGTCCCGCTGCTGGGACACAGCTGAGCCTACTATTACTACTACTACTACTACTACTACTACTACTACTACTACTACTACTACTACTACTACTACTACTACTACTACTGCTACTGCTACTGCTACTGCTACTACTACTACTACTACTACTACTACTACTACTACTACTACTACTACTACTACGATTAGTACTGCTGTCACTAGCGTTGACTGAAATGCTACATTCAGCTACTCGCAGTCGCACTGGTACCACTACGACGGCCAGGCAGCAGCCTCAAAGAACATGGTTCAAAGAAAGGCAAAGGAACGGACCTCACCGTACATGTTGGAGTCCGAAAATTAAAAAAATGTGTGTATATGTATGTATGTATGTATGTATGTATGTATGTATATATATATATATATATAAGGCTCTGGCTCGAGCCGACTGTTCCAGTGTGTAAGTTACAGACGCCATGCGGTCATGCCAGCTTCTCCTCGTGGCTCTAGCTCTTTCAAGCCCTCCGTGCTGCCCGGACCCACTCCTCGCTGTCTGGTGCTCAGACAGACCTACTGAGGCCTGCACGGAAAGCCTGCCTATTGCATTGCAAACTGACCCTGATGCCTGCTGTTTCTCTTTGTCTCAAGAGCACTGGTCGCCGTCTAGCGGCCTAGCTGCTACAGCTGCCTCGTCTCAAGGCCCTTCTCCTTTTGATTCCTCCGTCGCCTTGGCATGTCGCCCAAGAAGAACGCTCACGCGTCGACCAAGGCAGGCAGCGGCATATTACGCTCAGGGCGCTTTGCCAAGGCAGCCTCAGGAGACCCAGCAGCACCGGCCAAAGCACCAGCCAAAGCTCCGGGGAGCAGGGCTCGCACCCGCACTCCGGTGCCGAAGAGTCGACGAGCGAGCCGTGCAGAGGCGTCTGAGTCGATCAGTGAGAGCTCCTCGTCTTCTGAGGAATCCTGGAACCCACCGCCCAAACGCGGATCTCGCCGAGGACCACCTCATGGACCACCTCCCCCAGTGGCGGTCAATGATCCAGGGGAGGCAGCTGCTGCTGCGCCCACGCCGCTTGGAGCCTCTGGAGCCTCTGTACATGCCCCTGTGTATCCCAAGGTTGCAGCAACGGCTACCACCACTTCTGGCTCCACCGGGTCGCTGTTTCCGACTGGACCAGCCGGTCCACCGCCTCCTACGCCGGCCCCAACAATGCAGATGCCGACAGGTTGCCCCCAAGACCTTGTACTTACTTTACAAGGCGCTTGGCAGCTCCGCCTTACCCCGGTCACCCCATTGTCGATCTGTACGCCGATTTGTGCACCACCACTGCCTCACATGCCCGTTCCAGCGACGTTGGCAATGGCAGCGGCCACCACCAAGGCCTCATCTCCGCCTGCGCCAGGTACCTCCGGCCCCCGGGCCCCCTCTCACCCGGCTTTCCCGGGTGACGCTGTGTTGCCCTCATCTTTGCCTCCGGCAGCTGTGGTCCCCTTCTCTTCGACATCGACGGGCTCAGCTACTCCGGCGACGGCGACAGGACCATCAGCCATCCCTACGCCGGCCCAGCTCTGGAATGCAGTGGTGTCAGGCCTTACCATGCCATCGGACGTCTGAGGCACTGCATGCAGTAATACTTCGCTGTGCCCTGCTTCCCGAACTTTTCATTTTGGAGCACAAAGACGCAGTAGCAACGATGGTACATGAGCACAGGACACAAATGCTTGGCTGCCCTGCTCTGTCACAAGGGCCCCTGCCTAGCCTGCTTCTCCCTGCTCAACTTGGTCGCTCAGGTCACAGTAACATGTCCTTCCTGCAGATGATGGACAATGCGGCGCCGTCTGGTGGGCGCCCCTGTCTACCTCCATCACCGCGAGTTATGCACTGCTTGCATTCCCAGGTCCTACTCGGGCAAACTTATGCTTGCAGCCACAGCCGCAGGATAGATCGTGGCAGCCCAGGAATAAACTTCAGGCACACAGGGTGCCCGACGACACCGACTGCTCGCCCTGTCCCATCAGCTCCAGTCCTAGGACAGTGGCTGCGGCAGCATGGAGTGCACTGCCTCTGTGTACGCGCCTCCTGTGTGAGGCGCTCTCCGTCTCGAGGTACCGTAAAAGCGCCAGGTTTAACACCTACCGCAGCTATGCTCTTACTCAGGCATTGCACTATGAGCAGTTTTTGCCATCTCTCGAGGCCCACGTCCTATACCTTGAAGCCAGGCAAGAACTCACGGAAGCTGAGCATGCAGCCCTTCTTGCCCAGCTTACACACCTTGCTCCTCGGGCACACGCCAGCCTGCAATCCCACCTCCTTGATCTGCATCTACTCGACTAGGCTGGGTCCTGCTGGCTTCTCAAGTCGGGCTCTCACAGCTCGTCTTGCAACCCGTCTCTCCATGCACTTGCCTGTTTGCGCCCAGGCTGGAGGAGTCCTCGCCTGTGGGCTTGATCATCCTGCTCACCTCGAGCCACGGCCTCAATCGCCTCCGCCTGCCCAGCTTACATGGCTCTGCCTTGTCGCCGTATTGCATGGGCACAGGCACTTGCACATTGCTGAGCAATCACCTCGCTGCTATGTTGGCTCATGTCAGCAGACGCCCCCGGATCAGTTGGGGCTGACTCGGCCTGGATCTCTCATGGGCAAGGCGAATCGCCTTCAGAGGGGCAAGCAGCACAAGGGCCGTCGCACAAGGGAGACCCCTCGCCCGGAGGAGAGTGTGGCCGCTGCCAAAGCAGGCCCTGGCCCAGCTCCCAGCGGCTCGAGCTCCTCGGGGACGACCTTCAAGGTCTTGGTGCTCGCGCCACGGCGCTTCATCCGCCTCTTCGAGGCTCAACCGCCGTATTTGGCTGGAACTCCGGGCGTTATCCTGCCAGATGACATTCCTGGCACTCCGCTGAGCACAACCACGGCCCCGCTCGCTGGCCAGACCACATGCAAGGTCATGCTTATCCCGGTGACGCCGTTTCTCGGGACCCGAAGTCGGAGGTGTACACTGAGAGCTCGAGGAAGCCGGAGGCTCCAGGGAGGAGGCTGTGCTGATCACCTCCGGTAGTTTTTCCTGCCCGCCTGGACCCGGTAGAAGCACCACCACTTCCTCTCCGTCCGTATCGCTGTCCGAGTGGATCTGGACTGTCGGGCGTGCAGTGCGGTCCGAGTCTTCACGACCATCAACCTGCGTCGGTGCCAAAGCTGGTAGTGGCCTGACATATCGCGATGGCGGTGGCGGCGATACCACCCAGCGATATAGACGGTAGAGGCGCTCCTGGACAATCTCAGAGAAGAATGTGGGAGGCGTAGGGATCACCTGCGGGGAGGTGCAGATGTGCACAGCAAGGCCGCTCCTGGCCAATGTGATGATGCGAGCGGCCGAAGATGGAAGTCTTGCCAAGGCCCTCAGCCGAGTCCGGTGGCCTGAGTCCGAAGACGCACCACTAGGGCACACGGATTCTGAGAGCGACACTGTGGAGGCGCTGGAACCCGGAGATGGTCTGCCACCCCCGTCGCAGGAGAACATACTGCGTGCGGACCCAGCAGCCTCCACTCTCCTGTCGCACACCTTCCAAGGAATCTCCCCTCCGGAGACCATGCTGGAGAGTGTCCCAGAGATGGTGAAGCTCCCGGTGGCCTCACAGGATCCGCCCAGCACGTGCCAGCCTCTGCCTACGAGGCGATGGCGACGGCGTCAGCTCTCTCAACTTGAGGCGGAGGCGGAAGCACATGCCAAGGCAGAGGCTGACCCTCAGACGGTTACCTCAAAGGGCCTCCCGAGTCGATCCCCTTTTTCTCCGATCACCCGGACAGACACCAAACGGGTGCGGCCTGAGAAGCGCAGCTCTACATCCAGTTCTAATGATGACAGCTCCTCTGGTCGATCGGGGCGGAGCCAAGGCCACGAGCCCCGCCGTTTCACAGACACGGGCATGACTCAGCCTGGCACTCCGACCAGCCCGGCATATATGTGCGCTTCCTCTGCATCTCCTGCGAGAATCTTCATGCGCCTTGCAGTAGTGATGTTCTCACTGCCCAGGTCCTTGGGTGCTGCTCATGGACAGTGGTCTTTTTGCGAGGCCCTCAGTCTGCCGCGCTACCTTCACTTACCAGTAGCCTGCCACACACATCAGTGGAGCCCCCAGCAGGCCATGCTTCTGCCACCCAGCCGTTTTAGCCCTCAGCCACACGCTGGTGCCTCCTTCTCTGGGCCATGGCACCTGTTCGCAAGCGGCCAGCCGGTCGTCCCTCCGGACACCGTGCTCAGAAATCTCGTACACAGGCTGCTTCCAGGACTTCAAAGCCTGCAACCAGAGCTACCTCTACGACTCCGGCGAAGCGCCCTGCACGCTCAACCAACAAGCCCCTCAAAGGAGCTCCAAGGACCCAACCGGACCGCTCAAAGCTTCCCTCGGACATACCCACTACGCCGTCCTGGTTTGCAAGTGATCCCGACGAGGTCCGCGCCTCCGACTCGGACCAGATCGATCGAGAAATGGCGGCTCGAGGCCTTCCACCGCCCCCAGTTCCACCTCTCTGTGAGAACGATGAGCCGCGTGGTCCGCCGCCTCCACGACCAGTCCGGTATGATGATGGTCCTGGCTCGCTCAGTGAATCAGAGGGACCCGTTCCGGTGCCCACAGTGGTCCTGTCCAGGGCTCAACATAAGGTCCTGGCGCAAACCCCGTTGTCCCACATTATGCGACACGCGTCTGCCAGTATGTACCCTAGGTCCGTGCATCACGGATAGCAGCTCGCTGCTCTCCCTTGTGGCCGCTGCAAACGGCGTGGGCTATCAGGATGTAGAGCCTAGGCAAGCAGCCTTTATCCCGCTGCACAATGCCTGCTCCGTTGATTGGCTATGGAGAAAACGGTCTGCACTGCACTTGCCCAGTCTGGCCCACCTGCACTTGAAAGGGTACCACCCCTACTGGACCTGGCAATGCACCCAGGTCACGGCAGACTTACTGCCTCAGCCCAGCCGGGCCCCAAATCATACACTGCAGGATACCTTTCCTCGCCACAGACTGAAGCGACCAAGGACCCCGTTGGGTGGCCGACGCGCTCGAAAGCTCAGACGCAAAAGGCGAACCGCTGCAGGATGGGCCTCTGTCAGAAAACTGCTCTTTCGCTGGTACGTGACTCAGGCGGAACTCCAGATTACTGGCCTGCATTCCACTAGCGTGCTTCTGTGGTCTCTTATGCGTTGGGTAACAGGTCTGCTCAAGAGACATGCAGCCATCGCCGCAACAAGGCCACTACAACAGCCCGAACAACGGGCGGACATCGTTCTAGTATGGCAACTCAAACTTACACACATGTATACATTCGGCATCAAAAGAGCCTACTTCGGTCCCAAGTCCGAAGGGGAGGCTTGCTCACACAGGCCACAGCACATTGAGCGCACTTCTTTGCACACGCCGGTGCTAACCTGTAAACAAAGTCTCTCAGAGCCGAGGGTTAGACGTCCCCCGCCGCGTCTTGAACCTGCTGCCCCGATCCCTGCTGGACCAGATGCACATGTATCGACCACAGTTCCAGCCTCGGACTATTGTATGGGAGCAGGGAAGCCAGGGAATTTTGCAAGTGGTGCAGTCCTGCGGGACCGCCACCCTCATACACAACCAGTCGTCATCAGGTCTCGCTTCTCCTGGCCCGCTTCGCGCCTGCTCCTTCTAGGAGTTAGCAGCATTCTGCAGGCCCCCAGCGATGCACATGCCACAGGCATCAAGCGTGCATACAACCGGGCAGTCAGACGAGCACAAGCGAGCCCCTTGCAGGGAACCTTCTATCGTGGCCGATGGTGCTCCTTTCGAGCACCTGTCCTCTCGCCGCAGCCTCGGATGGACCGTCGTCCCCAGCTGCATGCTGCCGCCCCTGCCTCTGCCGCCAGGCTTCTGCATGTCTCTTACAATGCGGGTGGGCTGACGGGTGAATCCTACCAGGAGTTGATGCAGTGGCTAGCCCAGCTGCCTCCAGAGCAGTGCCCAATGATAGTGCACATCCAGGAAACGCATTGGTCGCACGATCAGGAATACAGCACACCAGGCTGGCACATCATATCGTCGGCCTGCTCCTCCCCTAAGGCAGGGGGTCTCCTCACCCTAGTCAGCGCTCAGCTCTGTTCGGCAAATCAGATCTCATCCTCCTCTCGCGTCGCAGGCAGGCTGCTCCACGTACGCATCGATCTGGGAGACCGCACGGTGGATGCAATTAACACCTACCAGAAGGTTTATCATTCTGGCAGCACGAGAATCGAGAAAGGTCAGACTCAAACCGCGGCCGATCAGCGCATGGGCGTCTGGACATCTCTTCGTGGTCTCCTTAAAGAGATTCCAATCCGTCACCATTTAATTTTGTCTGGTGACTTCAACTCGCCTGCCCCGCTCATCTCCGAACTGGTGGGAAGCAAGGCCAGGGCATTTCGCACACCGATGGTCCCAGACCTGGCTGCCTTGGAGGCACTGCTCGTAGATTTTCAGCTGCTTCATCTTAACAGTTGGACTCGCAGAGCCGGCCCCACCTTTCTTTCCCCTCAGCAACCATCTCAGATCGATCATGTCTTTGTGCGCAAGGCCACCGCCGATATGCCTGCCCGCGGCGGCAGCCCCTGCAACTGGCCTCTGGCGACTTGGAGACAAGGGGGACGCCATCGACCGGTGCAGGTCTCACTTCCCATTCGACCCTACCGCGCCCTGGGCAAGAATCAACCCAAACGTGCCCTCCTTGATCTCCAAGGCCTACGCAACGCCTGTCGCGACCCGAGTCATCCAGGAATTCGGCACCTTCGTGCCTCCGTCGAGGCCCTGCTCTCCGATTCCCCCGAGGCTACTGTCGAAGAGGTTAACTCTCACGTTCTTCAACAAGCGACGGCGGTGTTCCCAGCTGTCCGTAACCAGGGACGCGTCGTCCCCTGGCAATCCCCCACTGTTGAACTCAGTGTTAAAGGTATGTGGCAAGCCTACCACTGCTGGCAGCATGGACCGACGACAGGACGTCGAAACGTCTTTGCTCTCTGGCGTGCCTACTCCGCCTTTCGCCGCGCACATAAGCAGTTCCGTCAGAGGACTCGCGAAGCTAAACGGGCCTGGTTTCATGATCAAATTCTTGGTATGGAGCGAGCATCTGCTGCCGGGGACGTTAGAGCGCTCTTTCGTCTGGCTGGCGCCCTCCTGCCCAAGCAACCACGTCGCAAACTCCAGCTCCGAGGTCCCAACGGTGAGCTTTGGTCCCCTACGCAACAGGTGGACTGCCTCAAAACCTTCTTTCAGGATCTGTATGCGCCGGAGGACGAACCGGCACTACCACCTCTACCGCCACTTCAAGCTCCCACCATTTCCTCCTCTGAGGCCCACCATCGACTTACACGGCTCCCGGTACACAAAGCCACCCCAGCGCATCAGGCACCCACGGCGGCGATTGTTGCCTGTGCTGATCTTCTTGCGCCCTGGCTCAGTGACAAGGTCGGGTCTCTCTCCTCCTTCCCGGCTGTATGGTCAGACTGCTGGCTGGCCTTAATGCCCAAGGTCAGTCATCCAGTACTCCCACACTGAAAGCACGAGCCGTGTTCTGGCCGGACACTTACAAGATGCTCTCAAGCCCTACCTTCAAGCCTTCGTTGGCCCATGGCCCCAGCTTGCCTATATGGCAGGACGCAGCACAGGGGAGGCGCTGCATCGTGTGTTCAGCCACTGTCACGAAGTGTCCGCGGCCAATCTTAAGCCTGCCTACAATATCCACCGTGCCAGAGACAAGCTGGCCCAGGCTGGCACACCCTCATCCCAATCCTCTGCCTCCAAGCGGAAACGGACCGGAGGGGTCCAGGCATCACTGGACCTTTCTCAAGCGTTTGACCGGCTCAGCTGGAGTCTTATACACGAAGCATTGCTTGAGGCCCAAGTTCCTATTGAGCTGAGGGTACAATTACTTGAGTTCTACAGAGGTCTGGGCTATCACCTGACCTTTGGTTCTGAGCAGGCCACCGTCCAAGCCTTGCGAGGAGTCAAACAGGGCTGTAAAGTGGCTCCACTCTTGTGGAGTCTGGCTACAGGTCTGCTCATGCGCCGATTGGCCCGCGCGACTTCATCTGAGTGGGTCCGTCGCGCCCTCACGGCCTTTGCCGATGATTTTCACATTGGACAGGTTGTCTACTCCACCCGAGATTTGCTTCTGTCCATCGACAGGCTTGGCCACGTTTTACAACTGCTCATTGATGCACGCATGAAAGTCAATATTGACAAATCCGTGATTCTCCTCTCTGTCAATCACTCCTATGCCAGCCGCTGGCGACGTAAAGAAATTCTCTCTGACAAGGAGGGCCCGCGCCTGCGAATCTCGACACCCACGGCAGGCACCTTCAAGATGCCAATAGTGACTACTCACAAGTATCTGGGAGCCATTATCTCCTACCAGGAGGACTGTACGCAGCTTACGGTGGCGTATAGATTGCGCCAAACATGGGCGACCTGGACCCGACTTCGACCTGCCCTTACCTCAGCCTCGGCACCTGCTCTCCCCTTGCGACTTCGTCTCTGGCAGGCATGTATTCCTCCCACCGCTCTCTATGCACTAGACAGCCTTCCACTGCAACAGCAACACCTGGTACAAATTCAGAGAGCCTTAACAAAACAGCTGCGTGCTGTAGCCAAGTCCCAGGCACATCTGACAGGCGAATCCACAATTGCTTTACATCATCGCCTCCGGGTTCCCCTGGTGTTAGATGCGTTGCGACAGGCCTCTCACCGCCGAGCAGCCCGCTGGGCCGCCATCCCTCCTGAGGAAGCCCATCTTCTCAACCGCTTGTGGCAAACACGCATAGATGAAGCCCTTCAGAAGCTCGACTCCCCCCTTCAGCCGCTGCTGGAAGCCCCCACGGCTCCCTCGACAAGCTATGCCCTGCAGGACAACCCATCAACCACGGGCGCTCTGGAATCGGGAATGCACGAAGAAGGATGGTCATGTCCCCACTGCTCTTACCAAGCGCCATCACATAGACTTCTTCGCGTACATTTCTCCCGAACCCATGCAAGTAAGGCCAAAGATCGGGAGCGTCCAGGCCGCTTCAACCGCGACCAACACTCAGTTAGTGGGATGCCGACCTGTCGTCTCTGCGGGCACCGCTTCTCTCGTTGGAGTGGTCTTCGCTGCCATATAGACAAGGGACACTGCAGATGCCTGTCCTTCTCAGCCTTGCCAGAGCCTGAGCCCATTACTACTGTGCCTCCGAACACTCCAACCCACCCATTGCTGCCTCATACATCCACTGACACTGTGGCACCACCACAGCTACTACGTCCACGCCAGGTCTGGAACCACCCCTTTCGGCAGAGTGCCCTGCTGCGCACCCTTGCCCGGACCTGGCTCTCTCCTCTGCTCCTCCGGGAGAGCATGCAGCTGCCGCCACCACTGCGGATGCTGAGGATACGTCGTCTATTCGCCCTCTGCCTGTCTCGCAGTCGCTAGCTTATACCCCGGCCTTTCAAACACAGCTGCGAAGTCATGGATGGCAGGCGCTACTCTCGAGGCCAGATCTCAGGTGCTCACTGAAGCACCACTGCCCGCTGTGCTCTCAGTGGGCTGCCTCTCCTTCGGGGCTCAAGGTGCATTTGCAGCAGTCGCACCCGGAATGGAAAGCTCTCCGCCCGGCTGCACAGGCGAAGGCTCAAGTTCTACGTCGCAGTCTGTGTAAACCATGTCTATACTGCCAGGAATCCCGCATTGATCTTCAACATCACTGGAAGCAGTGTTACATGATTACCCTACTCAGCTTCCTAGAGTGTTGGCTGGACGACACCTTCAACTCCACCGCACTGGACCAACCGGTTCACTCACTCCCTCCTGCCAATGTCAGTGGAGGATCAACGCGAATTGGGCCTCTTCCAGAACTTCATGACACCGCCGGCGGGAATGGACGCAGCTCAACTCAAGCGCCGACGGGGGGAGCCGGAGGCACAACAAGCCCTATTCCTGAACCACTCGTCCGGCTCCCAGGCCTCAGCGTCGACCATGACGTTCGCCAACACGAGCTCGGAACCCAAGGGCAAAGGGAAGGGCAAGCAGCCCAAGGGCAAAGGACGGGGCAAAGGGGGCAAATCACGCCCAGCTGCCCAGCAGTCGTGGAACGATCACTGGAGCTCGGACCAGTCTTGGTCCAGCGGCCACTCCTGGACTTCCTCCGGCGACCTGACCGGTCAAATGGCCCGCCTCCTTCTCCGCCACGAGCAGCAGCTGCAGAGCATCCAACAGGACTGCAAGCTGCATCTCTATCTCCGCAGTGGGAAGGAATCCTTTCTTCCCAATCTATGCGAGATTGCAAAGGAATGGAGCCGCCTTCGTCGCGACGAACCGGGGAAGATCAACAGTCCGCTGCGCACTCTCCTCCTCCGAGCCACCTTGCAGGAGATGGAGACCCGGATCAAGCTCACCATCAGCAAGGAGAAGCAGACGGCCATCGACACGCAGTGGTACAAGGAGGAGGAGGGCTGGACTTACATGCAGTGGAATGCACAAAAAGGACAGCTCGAACTTCAAGCTACTCCGAGTCCACTTGCCACCGAGACCCTCCTCGAACTCCTCCGAGAGCTTCGCACTCTTGTGAATCCAGACTTTGTGAAGAAATTCGCGTCACTTCGCGGACTTCCACAGGAGCCCCAGTCCGAATGGATCCACTTTCAGCTGGAGCTAGGGTTTCGACCACAGGGGGACCGCATGTGGGAAATCTTTCAGATGCTGCTCAACCAGAGTTGCCTCCACCCTCTCGGAGCACGCCTGCGGAAGGACCGCCCCGGCCTGTCAGGCCTTGCGGCCCAAATCCAACAGGCAGTCGGAGGTTGGTGAAACCAACCACTCCATTGGCCTCGACCTCAGCCTCTTCCGGTATACGTCGTTTTCTCAGAGTGTCCCGGGATCTGCCCTTAGATACTGCCTGCTCCTCGCCCTCATTTGTGCCCTCAGAAGTCCCCTTGCACTTTCAGCCATTGCTTCATGCAGTCCTCCACAATGCAGATGGCACTGCCTGCTACATGAACACAGCTTTTATTGCCCTGCTGTGGGCACTTGGCTGCTATGATCCCACTCGATCTGGTTCATTGTGCAGCTTATATCAGTGCTTGACTGCGAGGTCGGACCTTCGATTGATGCGCAACATGTGCTGGACCATGTTGCTGGGGAACTGGGCCAGGCCCAATCAACAGCATGACATGCACGAATTTCTGCTTCACCTCATGCCGAGAGTCCGATTGGAGGCCTTCAGCGGTCTGTGGCAAACTCGCAGATTGGAGGACACAGGCACTGTGGTCTGTGCATCTTCCAATGCATTGCTCCCGGTCACTGTTGACCTGCCCCTGGAGGCACGGGGGCTTCAGCATTGCGTACAAGAGTGGTCTGCCCAGCATTATCATACCGCCTTCGATGGAACCTTGCCTCATCTCCTTTGCCTCCACCTGTCGCGCTACAGGCGTGATGATGAAAGGGGCATTCTCAGCAAGGATGATCAGGCTCTCCCGGACTGGTCTGACGTGATACGCATTCCGCAATTCGCGACGTCACATGATCTTCAGAAGCACTGGAGACCCTATCAGGTGTGTGCCATGGCTCTCCACTACGGTCCTGCCTTGCACCAGGGGCATTACCGCTGTCTGACGCGATGGGGTCAAAATCCAGTGCGAGTCTGGTTGCATGACGACAATCATGCAGCTGTGCCCCTCTCCCTGCCAGACTCTGTTGAGCTCAGTCGCAAAGCCTATCTGATATGGGCAATACGACTGGACTGAGGCCTCACCTGCCATTGTGAGCACGCTTTGAATGACGACATAGTTGTACAAAGCACACGTACTGTCATTCGTGACTACGTGTGACTTGAGGGGGCACAAAACGTGCGCGCCCACAGAGGCGCCGGAATCTCACCATGAGATTCTGCCTTAGCTAGCTAGGCGACGACTCGTTCGCTGCGTCCTGAAGAAGATATATATATATATATATATATATATATATATATATTGGACAGCCAATTAATGCTACCAATATCACGGCGACAAAACGGGCTCGGCTATTCAAATTCTAGCTCGCAGCCAAAAGGATGTGGTGCGGTACGGCCTCAGAGCATTCAACATGGCGTCTGTAGCCGTGTCAGTCGCATTTCGGGCTTCAGCCACCTGCCAGCAAGACGATATTGAAAACGTGGTTGACTCTGAGGTGCATGGATCAGACGAAACCCAAGCGAATGTCGGATGTCGTGAGTCTCTGACCCCATGCCTGCACAAAGGACCTGACACTTGGCTCCAATCTGCTAACACACGATAGGTTCCTGACTGTCGGACACTCTCTGACTTCGAGTGGCATCGTTCCATGTACAGCTTGAAAAGAATCCTTGTCAGAACCCATGCCGAGGTGACACCGTCACGACACTGCGTCCTTTTGGCCACCTACAAACGCCGCAAGACGAAGGCTTTCTGTGAGACGACGATCTGCAGCACAGCGACCGGCTGCTGTGGCAGAACCTCGAAGTCATTCCGAGACGTCATAGCCGTAGGGACGGCGATGATGCTGATGATGA